TCCTTCCTTCCCACCCTTCTTCCCTCTCTTCATCCCTCTCTCCTTCCTGCCTTTCTTCCCTCTCTCCAGCCCTTTCTCCTTCCCGTGGGTCAGTCTGCCCCGGGCGCCCCGTCTTCTTTCCCACCCTCCCTCCTTCCGTCTCTCCATCCCTCTCTCCTTCCCTCTCTCCAGCCCTCTCCCCTTCCCACCCTTCTTCCCTCTCTCCATCCCTCCTTCCTTTGCACCCTTCTTCCCTCTCTCCATCCCTCTTTCTTTCCCGCCCTCCTTCCCTCTCTCCATCCCTCTCTCCTTCCCTGCATCGCGCACTGCCCACAATGGGCCCAGGAGTCCTGGGGCGGGCAGGGACCTGGGCTGGAGTGGGGACACCCCGACCAGAAGCTGCTTGTGAGCTGGATCCATCTCAGTGAGGAAAGGGATGGATTTTCCAACCGCTGCGCAGTGTCCTGGGAGGGGATGGGGATGCTCGTGGTGCAGGTCTTGGTCCTTCTCCCCGCAGTGTTCAAGAAGGTCGACTCCATCTCCAGTGACATCAGCTCGGCCCAGAGCTACTACGAGCAGAAGATCTCRTCCATCCAGGAAGGTCTCCAGGAGCTGGGTGAGCATCGGGCCTCCCAACCACCCCATGTCCCTGTGGTGGGCACCAGGGGGGAGCTGCTGCATGGAAGCGATGGGTGATGTTCCCAAGGAACAGGAACAGCCCTGGAGCTTGTTGGGATCCTCGTCCCATGGAGCCCTCATCCCATGTTGGGATGTCCCAGCTGTGGGCAACATCTCCTGCGTGTGGCAGGGCCGTAGGATGGAGACGGCTCCTTGCTTGGATGGTTCCCATCCCATCCTCTCCCTTGGGAGATGCTGGGGTGACAGGGCTATGGGATGGAGATAGCTCCTTGCTCGAGATGTTTCCCATCCCAACCTCTCCCTTGGGCAGTTCTAGGGTGACAGGGCCATAGGATGGAGATGGCTCCTTGCTCGGGATGGTTCCTGTCCCATCCTCTCCCTTGGGCGCCGCTGGGCTGACAGGACCATAGGATGGAGATGGCTCCTTGCTCGGGATGGTTCCCACCCCAACCTCTCCCTTGAGCGCTGCCGGGCTGACAGGGCCGTAGGATGGAGATGGCTCCTTGCTTGGAATGTTTCCCATCCCATCCTCTCCCTTGAGCGCTGCCGGGCTGACAGGGCYATAGGATGGAGATGGCTCCTTGCTCGGGATGGTTCCCATCCCAACCTCTCCCTTGAGAAGTGCTGGGCCGACAGGGCCATGGGATGGAGACGGCTCCTTGCTCGGGATGGTTCCCACCCCAACCTCTCCCTTGGGCGCTGCCGGGCTGACAGGACCCTCTCTCCTCCCCACAGACGCCCAGCCCGCCGGGAACTGCTCCGCGTGCRGCGCCGCGGGGCGGCTGGGCGAGGAGCTGCGCGGGCTGCAGGGCGAGCTGCGCGCGCTGCAGGCCACGCTGCAGGCGCAGGAGGCGCAGGTGGCGCGGGCGGCGCG